TGGTATATACTTGACCCGACCCGGCATGGTCCATTTGGGTTGCATGGCATTGGAACATTTGGATAGACCTTTTGTGAGAAGAGGATATTTGTGACATATTAATATATTATAAGTTCTAATATATTAATATGAAATCATATTATTTATTTAGTATTGATCAAGAATTAATTTGGAATTAATTTAGTGATAAAAAAAGACTAATTAAATATATGGGGATTGATTGTGTAAATCATTCATTCTTATATATGTGGGCTTATGATCCATGATTCCTTATGTTGGGTTTAACCCATGTGGTGACCCATGGATACTCCATGGAGGTTAAAACCCATGGAGCATAAAGAATGGGTAAAGTCATGGGTTACATGGTGTAACCCTAATGTGCACACTATATAAAGACCCCATTGGTTGGAGAAATTGGCGCAAGTGCATACACAAGAGGGCAAGCCAATTTCTATGAGTCAAGTATCCTCTCTCATGGTTATTCCAAGATGTTCATGGTGTTGTGTGAACCATTTGAGGTGTCACACTTGGGGCACTAGGCTCTTAAGCTCCATGGAATTAAGCTACAACAAAGAGGTATGTATTCTATCTAGTTTTGTTATTCTAGTACATATGATTGTATGCTAGTTAGGGTAATACCTTGGAAAAATGATATTTGCATGTATAATAGAGAAAACATACATCCAAGGTATTTAGGGTTGCATGTACACCATAGGAGTGTTAGAATGCTCAAAACCCAACAACCTCGACCACCCTGAGGTCATGGGGTAACACTTCCTTCCAATCCCAATGACAATCCAAACTCTTGGAACGAACCTCCATCCTGCAGTTTCCACAAGCGTTGCACTGAACCCGGCCTGCTGGCCACTCAAAAGCTTATCCGAAATTTCTTGGTTCTCTTCCCGAGACCCTCCACTAAATGCACATATCCTGAACCTCTCTTTTCGAGGTACTCCAAATCGATCTTCTGCCCTCGGGCTCTGGGACCCGCAACATTCAGGGTCTCACACCCTGACACACTCACTAGCGCAATTGTCACAGCTGAACTGTAATAGCTGGAGTAACTCCTGGTCTAAACCGGCTACGAACCCCTGGTCACAGCTGAACTGTAATAGCTGGAGCAACCCATGGTATAAGCAACCCCATGGTGTGGAATGCATCCAACCTCTCGTCAATAATCTCCAAGATACCCTCCTTGACTGTACCGAAGATCACTGGAGTCTGGTCAAGAATATTGCGTGTGACCTCAGATGAAATGAACTCCCTCATCTGGTCATCGAGCTGCCCAGCTCCAAAGCCCAAGCCTGATCCCTCACCGGCACCTGAACTACCAACTGGTCTAGTGCGTAGCATCACCATACTAAAAATACACCATAACAAACATCATAATACTCATCATAACTCGAGGGATCACACACACTACAAAGTTCCCTGGATTCATCTCAGCTTTCCTCGACTCGAGTACAGATCTTATTTTTTCAGTAATACGGGCCCATACTACCTTCCACATCTATCCGTACTTTCCTCAAGAATTGCCTTGACTCCACCAAGTCCCTTTCACTACTACTACTCTCTGCGCTAGTCTCATCCTAGGCTTTGCCTAGGGTAATCTCCAACCCACTTTCCGCCATCAGATGCATAAGAAGTCCCTGCTATCTCCCCCTAACTAGCTCGCGAATACTATTACATATTATTAATACCAGATAATTCTTCGAATGAGAGGTCCTACCCTACAAAGGTTGGACTCAAACGAGAGTTGTGAAGTAGGGATAGACCTAACCTTCTGAAATTATTTAGTCCTCGTAATATGTAACTTAACGTATTCGTTTACTAGTTACTTAAAGATAACTAGAACTCCTAAAAGCACAAAGCAAGCAGAATTCTAGCATTGAGTAACCAAGACCAAGCATATCCTAATCAGGCCATCATATTACTGACTAGTCAGTACTAGCATGCAGTTCAATAAGCACATAGAGCAGGCATACAAGGCATCCTTCCTAGATCCTTAGCCCTAATCTAACATGCAGTTCTCATACACATATAGCAGACATACAAGGCATCCTTCCTAGATCCTTAGCCCTAATCTAGCATGTAGTCCTCATAATCATGTCATATCATAACAAACATGTATGGGTAATTTAGGAGAACTTACTTGAGCTCGGCTGATTGCATGCACCACACCCTTTTCTCTTTTCAAAATCCTTTTTATATAAATGGTTTTCTTTTTAAATTTTTTTATACCAAGTCCTCAGTTTGAGTCCAGACACACCCGAGTGTGTGCCCGAATCCCTCAAACCAAGGCTCTGATACCAACTGGTAACATCCCAAAAATACGGTCCAAAAGTTTCATTTTTAATCATCATATAAAACCATAGTTATCAAAATCATCTCATCAAAATATAAGTTATAGTATCTCAAATCATCATATCAAAAACACATGTCAATATATCATAGTAAAACATCCCAGGCTAAACATCATGGTGTGTGCAATGCAGTCATCCCGAGCTCTTCCCTTTGCTACCGAAAGTACCTAAAACCAAAACTGAAAACCGTAAGCACGAAGCTTAGTGAATTTTCCCCTAAACTACCACATACCATACACATAACATGTAGCTAGGAGATACGAGCCCCCTCCCACACTCAAGGAGATACGGGCCCCGCCCACACTCGACTATCTATGAGATACGAGCCTCGACCACACTCAGCTAACTATGAGATACGGGCCTCGCCTACACTCAACTATCTACGAGATACGGGCCTCGCCCACACTCTGTTGTCTAGGAGATACGGGCCTCGCCCACACTCCACTATCTAGGAGATACAGACCTCGCCTCCACTCCGCTAACTAGGAGATACGGGCCTCGCCCACACTCCGCTAACTAAGACATGCATACAAGTATCACACAACCAACAAGTATAATCAAACTCTACAAATCTATACCATACTCAAATAATGCTAAGATACGGGCCCTGGCCACACTTAGATGCTAATCATCACACATACTATACACAGGCCGGCATTAGTGCCGTAGACCTGTTCAAACTATGAGGAAACTCACCTCAATGTCGGATGATAGCTGAAACGTATTTGTCCGGTAATCAGCTCTACTCACTTCCTGAATCAAAACAACCCCTTAGATACCATTTCACGCTCATAACCCCTTTAGGGTCAGTTATGGTCAAAGTCAAAGTCAAATCAAGGTCAAAGTCAAAGTCAACGCTCCGAGTTGACTCAACTCGTCGAGTTTACCCTTCAACTCGTCGATTTCCCATGAATCACATAATCGCGAAATCGCGATGCAACTCGTCGAGTTTTCCTCCAACTCGCCGAGTTCTTCCCTTTAACAGAATCGGGACTGTTCGACCCAACTCGTTGGGTTCCTTCATGAACTCGCCTAGTTACTCATAGTTCTCAGTCTATTAAGCCCTTCCCTCAGATCTAAGGTTCCAGAATATAGATCTACATTGTTTCCATGGTATACATCTGTAAAGTCGACAACTTGATGGTTTTTGTATGCCTCAAATGGACCTAATCTCAAGATATAGCAACCTACTTCTATGGATATGGTCTTTTCTTGAGCATGAACGGGTTTAGGACCCTTTCTTATGAATCTAAGGAACATATAACACTGGGAATGGAAGTTTTTAGCATCAGGACTATGAAGGTTTATCATGCTCCAACAATGGGGTCAAAAATATCCATAAAACAACACCAAGAGAGATCTAAGCTATTAAGCATCAAGTTTGAGACTTTTTACCTCAGAAAGTTGCCAAAGACGAACGAGATCCCAAATCTAGTGCTTCTCCTCAAGCTCAATGACCTTCTAGTTCTTCCAAGTCCTTCACCAAGCACAAGAACACACAAAAAATCCACTCAAAACCTCTAGTTTCTCAACAAGGAGATCACAATACGATTTAGGGTTTAGGGAGGCTGATGAGGGGCTGGTGGGAAGATTAAGTCCTTTAAATAGGGTGCAGAACCCTGAAAATTAAGGTTTTATCCCAGCCAGTCTACTCGTCGAGTTGAGACCTCTCAACTCGTCGAGTAGGTCACTTATTTACGCGCCCCTTGTAATCTCTACTCAACGAGTTTGGGGCTTCCAACTCGTCGAGTTGCTCTTATAATTTGAACAAATAATAAATTAAATACATACCGGGATCCAGGCGTTACAACAGCTAGCTGATAAGATAACTTATTTTTCGAGTTTTTTTAAGTTGTCATGTTTGGCAAGACAAAAAGTAGCTTATAAGCTAGCTTAAAAGCTACTTAGGCTATGTTAGCTGAAAAGCTAGTTGATAGCTAAAAAGCCAACTGATAAATAAAAAGTTAGTTGATAAATAAAAAGCTAACTGATAGTTGAAAAGTTGGCTGATAAAATTTGACGTTTGGTAAAACTAGCTGAAATATATAAAATAACATAAAAGGACATTTAAAAGAATGTGTTATATAATTAATTTAGGGTTATATTTGGAAAATTTAAAAAAAAACTCTTAAAAAGCTAATCTAAGTAGCTTTTTAAAAAGCTAGTTTATAAGCTACTTTTTTGACTTGTCAAACATGACAACTTAAAAAGGCTCGAAAAATACGCGCCAAACATAGCCTTAGACTAGGTTTTTAAGAGCTTTTTAAAAAAATTCCAAATATAACCCTTAATTAGTTATAGAAACACATTCTTTTAAATGTCATTTTATATATTTCAGCTGACTTTTCATCTAGTTTACCAAACGTCAAATTTTATCAGCTACTTTTCAGCTATCAGCTAGCTTTTTATTTATCAGCTAGCTTTTCAGCTATCAACTAGCTTTTCAGCTAACAACTTATTTTTCAGCTAGTACGCCAAATATAATTTAAATATTCGAATCCCATAAATTTGAATAAACTTCCCTCTTTGGAAAATTTAAAAAAGTATATATAGTTTTTTAAGGAATAAGAAAACATATATACATTTTTTTTTTTTGTAGATGATATATAAGTTGTAACATGGCCATGTATGTCAGTCATGTATGTACATGTGTTATGGGTTTCGCTGGCATGGGGTTAGTTAACATCATACATGAGCTGGATCCACACTCAACGGAGAGACCCACTTTCTAATCAGCAAGAATATTAAAATATAAAATTGATTTAATAAAATAAATCCAAAAAAACCTTCAGAGATTGAAGCACAAAACCATGTGCCAATATAAATCTCACATACACCCTCATATAATTTCTTCCCCTTTTCCTCTCTCTCTCTCTCTCTCTCTCTCTAAAAGTCCAAATCTTCCGTAAAATTCATCTTCTATCTGTTTCCGTTTCCGTTGATTTTCCTGAATTTGGTTGGTCTCATCTTTTTATCTAAAAATAATTAAACAATTTGGGCCTGATTCTGAAACATGAAGTTTTGTGGGTGTGATTGAGTGTTTATTTGGGGAAAAATCCATGAATCTTGGTGGAGGTCAAGTAGTTAACAAACAATCGATGATGCCTAGTTCAAGTGGCGCTTCTTGGAAGTCAACCACTGGCGGCGGAATCAGTGGTGGTGGCGGAGGCGACGGCGGTGTCCCTGATCAGTTTTCCGGCCGGTCTACGGGTGCTTGTTGTTGATGATGACCCAACTTGTCTCAAGATCTTGGAGAAGATGCTTAGAAACTGCAACTATGAAGGTACGTACAAACACACACACACACGCACTGTGTAAAAGTCTATTTTTTGTGATTTATGTCTCCACTTAAATAAATCCATGTTCCTTTTTTCTTAAATCCCAGTTCAAATTTTCACATCATTGATTTCATCATTTCGTTAACCTTTTTTTTTATTATTTTTTTATAATTTTAATTTTTTATATTTTCTATTCTATATACTGTTCTATTTCTATCCATAAAAATCTCTCAGAAGATTACAAATCTGTGGAAGAAAATTGAAACAAACAAAAACCCAAGTAGATTTAGGGTTCAAAACATTCAGATTTAGGACTATTTTACAAAACTTATGCCTTATTTAGACGTCGGCACTTTACATGTTTGTAATGGTCAAACCTTTTATGATTTCCAGCTTAATTTTACATTTATTTTCTTCTAAATTATTTACTTTAATGCAGTTTGTCGCTTTTATCCAAATCGATTCATCCTCATGATGATTTGATTTTGATTTATTGAAGTCGTATTCTTATGAACAGCTTTTTGATTCAATGGCATTGATTTCAAATTCTAGAAATTTGACTTTTTTTGGTCAAAATTTTGCAGTGACTAAATGTAACAGAGCCGAAGTTGCTTTATCGCATCTTAGAGAAAATAAAAACGGATTCGATGTTGTTATAAGCGACGTTCACATGCCTGATATGGATGGATTCAAACTCCTTGAACACATCGGAATTGAAATGGATCTCCCTGTTATCAGTAAGTCAACCACTCTAATTTTTACTTCCGATTCCGAATTCAATCCCCGATCCAATTTCTTCATCCAAAATTCTACCTTTGGGTTACAATTTCGCGTTTTTGGGATTCAATTCTGAATAAAATTTGGAAATTTGATTGGGTTTTTACAGTGATGTCGGCTGATGACAGCAAGAGTGTAGTGATGAAGGGTGTTACTCATGGCGCCTGTGATTATTTAATAAAACCAGTGAGAATCGAGGCATTACGTAACATATGGCAACACGTTGTTCGAAAAAGAAAACACGAATGGAAAGAATTCGAGCCATCAGCAAGTGCAGATGAACAGAAACCCCCAGAAGAACCCGATTACTCCTCTTCTGCAAACGAAGGGCATAATTGGAAAAACACAAAAAGGAGGAAAGACGAAGACGATGAAGCTGATGAAAGAGACGATTCATCTTCTCTGAAGAAGCCACGTGTTGTTTGGTCCGTTGAACTCCATCAACAATTTGTCGCAGCCGTCAATCAGCTCGGAATCGATAGTATGAATTTAAATTCTAATTTCTTCACTCTTTTATATCAACTTTCATCTTGTTACAAAATTACTAATCTACCCTTTTTATGTTGTTACTTTTATGGATACAGAAGCTGTTCCGAAGAAGATCTTGGAGTTGATGAACGTTCCTGGGTTAACTAGAGAAAACGTTGCTAGCCATCTTCAAGTAAACTTCTTTTCTGGATTGAAAAAATGGAAAATCGAAATAAAAAAAAAAAAAAAAAAAAACGTTATTTTTTCAATTTTGACTTTTTTTTCGTTGTTGACTTTTTATGTGATGAATTGAAGACCTTTCTTCCTCACAACTGCAAGAATTTGGTGCAGAAATACCGGCTTTATCTAAGAAGACTGAGCGGGTCACAACATCCGGGCGGGCTAAGCACCGGGTTCATGGGTAGCCCAGAAGCTGGATACGGGTCGATTTCGTCTCTCAATGGGCTCGATCTTCAAGCCCTAGCTGCTAGTGGTCAACTCGGTCAACTCCCTCCTCAAAGCCTTGCAACCCTTCAAGCTGCAGCTCTTGGTAGATCAAATAACTCAAAGTCTCCAATTTCAGTCCCTGTAATTGACCAAAGAAACATTTTTAGCTTTGAAAACCCGAAACGTTACACAGAAGTCCAAAGTCAACATTTGACCAATAATAATAATACCAATAAGCAAATGAATTTACTTCCCGGGATTCCTACAAACATGGAGCCGAAGCAGTTTGTGAGTTTGCATCAATCGGGTCAGCATTCATTCGGGAGTATGAACAATCAAGTTCTAATCCAGATGGGTGGTCAAAATCAAAATCAAAATCAAAATCAAAGTCAAAGTCATGGTCAAGGTCAAGGTCAGTCGATTCCGAATGCTATTCCTCATCATGGGATGAGGCAGCAGCCGGTTTTGTCCAGTGAGATGTTGACACGTGGCGGAGTGGTTGACCTGGCAACAACAACGGTGTACAATCCCGTGGTGTCACAAGCTTCGTCTCTTGTGGATTTCTCAATGAATCATAAAACGGATTCGAGCGGGAATAGTTACCCTCTCGGGGGTAGTTTGGGAATTTCAAATATTACGTCCTCGTCATCGACTCTCCAAGGAGATGGGAACTTAGATAGTAAGGTTTCGAGAAGAGGGATTGTTCCAAGTTATGATATTTTTAATGATTTGAATCAAAATGGGTATCGGGATTGGGGTTTACAAGATGTCGGTTTGACCTTTGACCAGTCTCCTCCGGTCTTACTTCAACATACCCGGTCTTCTGGGCAAGAAATGGGAGGGCAGAATCGTAATCTTACTACCACCGGGACCCACCGTAACGGGTCAAACATTGGTCAACCGCGTAATACTTTTGCTGGGGAGAATTCGTTGAGGGTGAAAGCCGAAAGCTTCAATGATGGAAGCTCTCATAATAATTTATATCCTGAACAGTATGGTCAAGATGATCTTTTAGCCGCGATTCTAAAGCAAGTATGTTTTTAGTGAAATGTCTAAAATACCCTTTTAATGAAATGTCTAAAGTACCCTTTTGCTAATAATGTTGTATTTTGTGATGCCAGCAGCAGCAGCAAGAGAGTGTCGGGCAGCCGGAAAACGAGTTTGGGTTTGACGGGTATGCATTGGATAATCTACCGGTGTAATAAGAGAGGATTTGTACTTTGTGCTTAAAGTGTTGGACGTTGTGCAGTTTCTGGTGTACATAGCTTGACTTATATCCAAATCACCGGATATCAACTGCCAAGATAACAAGATCTTGAAATTCCGGTTGCTTTTTAATATATATTTAATATATATATTGCTGTTGTGAATATGATTGTTGCTGAAGATGATGATGATGATGATGATGATGATGATGATGATAGTAGAGCTTGAGAGCACGATATGCAAAGGCATAGACGTGTGGAAATTTTTGACTGCTTTAGGTAGCCTACAAAAGACCCGAACGAGCAAGCAATTTCCTAGGATTGTGAATCTGAAGATTTACTATAATTCTCTTTAAAATTAGTCTTTGGAATAATAATACGTAGTTTTGTGCTTGTTTTTAAGGTTTTTAACGTAAATCTTATTTGTTAGGATATATGGTCGTAGTGTGCATAGTAATTGAGGTTTATTTGTTGAGTATTCTTGCTTAATGAAAGATCAAACATGTTTTATATGTTTTCATCGTTGAAATCAATGAAGTGAACGATTCAATATTCTGAATGAGAGAGCACCGATTGAATCTTGTGAATGACCGAAAGAGAAGATTTCATCTTTTTCCATGTAATCAACATTTGTTTGAAAAAAAAAATCATGTTTTCCATGTTGTTACAAGTTCTTTGTACATATTTGTGTTGCAATATCATCTTCTTGGTTGGTTTGTTATCTTTGTGTAGATGTTATGAAATAATTAAATAAGATAGATGATGCTTAAGTGGAGGATGCACCTTTTGGAGAACCTAATGATTTGCCTAATGGATATGTGCAAGTGCAATGACATTATGAAGAAATATAACAAAGTTGTTTTTGGATAGGCGTAAAAGAGCCAAGAAGGAGACATTGTTGGATATTGAAAGTAGTTTGCAAGACCATTAATATGCTAAACTATGAAGTTATGTTGAAGAGATATTGAAAGGAGGTCAAATCCAAGTTTAATGTCAAAACTTGATATCAATACAATGAGTACTTTTAACAAGTTTTATGTTTGTTTAAAATGCTTCATACCAAGTGGTAATCATTGGACTAATTTAACAAACCCATTCTAACACATAACACTTATACACACATTCCATTTCATATAGTTTTAAGGATTTCAACTTCATATGTACATCAAAGAGAGGTCAATGATACCCCAATCATTTGGTAGTTTAGGTCCATGTTCATGAAAATTTCGGCATCGTGTATCAAGTACAAATCCAGATACGGGTTTACTGTTTTCCAAAACTCATTTTGGTTTTTATTTTTATTATTATTATTATTTTTTTTTAACCTTGTTGCATGGATTGAGTTTTTCAATCGTTTTTTTTTGTTCTTTACGACACAAAAATCTACAAAAACTATAAGGAGCGTTGGCACTTGATAAAAAAGATTGTTAAGCATTTTAGACTCGATTAATAATTTACATTAACGGATTTTGATTAAGATATTGTAACAATAATGTAGTACACTTATTATTTCAACTATGTATTCAGCATATTTCTTTAATAGTTGATCGTACAGTGTTAGGTTTCTTATATTACAATTTAAATGATCATATTGTTATATTAATGATTAAAAAATTAAAAAATTACCTTACAAGGTGAACGAATATTGTGACTTTTGCAATCAACCCTTGTACGAATACCATCAGAGGTTCTAACATCGAGTCACATCTGCCTTTTGGAATCGGCTTAAGTATCTACTATCTACTATAAAGGACAATATACAAAAATAAATAAATAAATAAATAAATAATTCATTATTTTTGGTAATTTGTATAGTTTAACCAAATATTTTAATTTTATTGATGAAAGCCAATAGCCACCCAAAATTTGACAATGGTTATATATCACTACTAACCAACATGCATATATTGTTGAGAGAGCAAGATAAGAAGTGGTAGTTGGATGTAGATGTTATCTAGATCTTGGATAATAGGCTGTAGATTAATAGTTTGTTTGTATGCTGCGTGTATACATATTCTTCTACTTGTGATTGAATTAACATAGAAAACGGAAGTCCATTCCTCCATCTTGAATCCTTACTTTCAACATGGTATCAGAGCATACCAAACCTTGACGAAAAACATAACACCTGCTCATCATGGGTGGCGAAGATGGCTCATCATCAACCCCTTCCTCTGTCATTGTTCAAAACGAACAAGATGCACCATTCCCTACTGGAGTCATCCTCGATGACACAAACTATGGTGATGAGGATTGGAGCACGAAACAAATCTGGGTTTCTCACAAGGGCTTCCAAGAAACCCACGAAAAACGAAAAAACAAATCGAAACTTGGTTGATCGATAACAACCGGGTCAAAAAGCTGGCTAATTGATTCAATGAGCTCAACCCTAACACGCCGTTTTATCCGACTCCAGACGACGGTTGAGATCTGGGAGGCTGTCTCCAAGACATTCTATGATGGAACAGACGAAACCCAGTTGTTCGAACTAAACCAGAAATCGTTTCACACTCGTCAGAATGGTCGATCCCTCCCAAACTACTACAACGAATTGATAAGCTTGTTCCAAGACTGAAACTTGTTTGATTGGTCAGGAGGATACCGTTGAAGATGCAATTGCAGCGAATAAAACCCTATCATGTTTCCGTGTGCACATCATCCTGGCTGGCCTAGACTTCGAATTTAGTCAAGCAAGAAGTGAGATCTTGAGAAAAGATCCACCCTTCAGTTTATAAGCATGTTATGCCTATATCCGTAAAGATCAAAATCAACGACGGACTATGGAGGAACCAAAATAGGAACCAGACAGTGTGGTTCATATGGCAACCAGAAATCGACACAGGAAAGGAAAGAGCACAAAGGGATGGAGTAACATCATGTGTATACATTGTGGAGAAGAATGACATTCTAAACTCAGGTGCTATGAGATCATCAGTTTACCCAGAGTGATGTGACTTTACAAAGAAGCCAAGAAAGAAAAATGACCAGGCATTAGTAGCGACTTCACCTCAAGTCCAAGAAGTTACTACTCCCATGGCAGCTCATACTTCCAACAACTCCGGTATATTTCACCATAACCACACTCAAAATAATAGTTGGATAATTGACACAGGAGCAACAAATCATATGACCAACAATTCTGAAAACTTAGTAACATCGTATCCTACTAAACAAGATAACATTCACACAACTAATGGAGAAACGGAACTCGTGATTGTCGAAGGATCTGTAAAAGTGTCAAGCTCGATGGAGCTTGACTTTGTATTAGTTGTTCCTTCATTGTCATCAAACGTTTTATCAGTTAGCTAAATAACTGAAACTCTGAATTGTTATGTGACTTTTTTGAAAAATGATTGTATGTTTCAGGATATAGAGACACATCAGATTCTTGGTTATGGTATTAGGCGGGGACGACTATACTATGTTGAAGAACACCATCGGAGTCATGCTCATTATGCAGGAGTAATTCAATCAAATAAGTCAGTGGCAATGTTATGGTATCGTCGACTTGGACATTTACCCTTTATTTATCATGTAACGACCCAAAAATCAAGAGTAAAAGTTTCATTTTTAATATAGCCAAAACATTGATACCATTTATTCCAAACATTCCAAAACATTGCTAAGTAAAACATTTATCAGAGTTCATCCCAAAATCATTCATCGCGGAAAACATAGGTGTGTGCGATGCGATCAAACCGACCCTTCTTTTCCAAATCGATGATACTTGAAACCAAAACTGTAAACTGTAAGCACGAAGCTTAGTGAGTTCCCCAGAGCATACCTCACACAATCCACATAACCCATAATCCATATCAGATATAACAACTACATAAACCATATCAATAGCATAAGCCATGCATATAGGGATGTCGTGGAAACCCTCCAAGGTCTTACTCCAGGACGTCGTGGGATCCCCCTAGGGTCTTATATCTTCGTGTCATGGGCTCCCCCATGGTCTTTACCTGGAATTCCATGGGCTCCCCCATGATCTGATATCCAACTGCCACGGGCTCCCCCAGGGGTCTTCCATGTAAATGACACAGAGTCACAAACATACTACATATCACGGAACATAACTATCCTACTACATAACACATATATAAAAACATATGAGGATGTCGTGGACTCCTTCCAGGGTCTTATACATATGTGTCATGGGCTCCCCCACATGGTCTTAGCTATTTGCCATGGGCTCCCCCCATGTTCTTTACCTGGTATGCCATGGGCTCCCCCCATGGTCTAATAACCAACTGCCACAGGCTCCCCCTGGGGTCTTCACTTATCTAGTTAATAACATACTAGCACATCCACATATACATGCATATCATACATATCAGTAGTGAATCCATAATAACACTACAACTAACTGAATGGGCCGACCTTGGTGCCTTAGACCCATTGGTATGGTGAGGAGACTCACCTCGAATGCAGAAGTTCCCGAATGTCATCCTTAGCTGATGCCCCGCCGACTTCCCGAGCTATCAATATCAATCAATATACTCAATTAGCAAATTGGGTTCCATACTATAATCCCTAATCCATACATGGGGTAAAATGATCATTCTACCCCTGGCTCAGTATGATCCAAAACTGAGGCCCAAGCCCAAACAAAAGCCCAACATTATAATGTCCATAAATCCATCAATGGACCTAATCTATGAAGGCCCAATACGAAAAAGGCCTAAAATATTGAATGGTCAACCCTATTCAACTCCTGGTCAAGTCAAAGTCAACGGTCAAGGTCAACAATCCATGTTGACCCAACTCGTCGAGTGTATCTAGCAACTCGTCGAGTCACCTGAGTAACTCGTCAACTCACCGAGTTACCTATGTAACTAGTCGAGTTCCTTAATGTCCAGAAGACCGCAAACTCATGCAGACCAAAACTCTAATCCTTCTTTGCACTCATCCATAGTCTCGAAAACGGGTAAACCCTACCCGACTCGTCGAGTCGACTAAGGGACTCGACGAGTTCCTTCAGTCCTTTTTGTGTTCAGTCCTTTCCAGTGGGATCCAAAGTCCCAAACTTCAGATCCAACCCCCTAGGGTTAAGATAC